TACAGCAAAACCTGTGAAAAACACTGGATTTTGATTGTACCCGCAAATATTCCTCTTTCCTATCCCATTCTGTCTCACCAAAACTTCTCCAAACAAAGCATCCCCTGACTCACAGTGAAGAGCACTCTCTCTCCCCATCCCTCCCTCTATCCTTGCATGTCTGCATGCCAGCTCAGCCTGCCCCTTCCACCCTCCCCTCCCTGAGCCAATTCAGATGCTCCTGCAGCAGGGAGCAGCACTGCAGCATGTAGCAGCATCACCTCGCCTGCTCCCTGTCAACTCTTCCCTTCCATCTCTGCTGTAGCTCCTCTTTCCTTCTCTCTTCCAAGGAAGACAGAGATGGGGGAAGGGGAAGCCTCGCTCGGTGCCAGATTTTGGAACAGTTTGGTGCCGGGTAGTTCTGGGGGGAGGAAGGGGAAGAGGCGATGGGGAGCATTTTTTCTTTTTGTTAAAAACAATAAATAAAAACAGATGACCCAGAAGGCTGGAGCATAGCTGAGAGCCACCTCCTGTGCCACTACGCATGTGTCTGGCTTGTGCCTCGGCTCGCTGCCGGCAGTGGGAAAGAGGGCAGAAGGGGAAGGGGAAGGGGAAGGGGCATCGGCGGCTCAGTAGTTCTGCGTTTGGTACCCCTGTGTCTCGGTGTCAAAAGCATCTGCTGCAGGGGGCTGCTGGTACGTCCCCACCGCATCCGTCGCATCCTCCTCGTTCGTGTAGGGAGCGTAAGGCATGCCGGAGTCCTGGCTGGGGTCCATGTAGTCCTGGGAGAAGAGGGCCGAGTCGGCACCCAGCCGGAAGCGCTGATACGCCAGGAATGCCTGGCCAACCTTCAGGAGGATGGAGAGAGATGGGAGGCAGAGAGGGGACGGGAAAGAGAGAAAGGGGAGCGTGCCGAGAGAGAGAAATAAACAAAAGGGAGGTTAGTCATGGTTACAGGTTAGTGTGTGAAGCCCATCTGGGAGACAATCCCACAGAAAGCACCGATCCCTTGGCAGGGAGAAGAGGAGGGATATGGGATGGGGCTGTTAGCAGGGGCACGTGGGCACTTGGACTCCAGCAGTCTTCTCAGGGCATCCCCTGCAGAGGTGAGTGGTCTGGCAGGCTATGAGCTGCCTGTGGGGGCAGGGTTTGGGGAATGAGGGGTGGCAGGAATAGAGAAGACACAGCAATGGGGGGCAGAAGGCATCTTCTGGCTGAGACATGAACAGTCATTAAAAGAAAGGCACGAGTGTTACGCAGCATTAGTTAGACTGAGGGAGAGAAGGGGCCAAGGAGGAACACACGGATGGAGCCAAGTGCTCAACAGCTTCCTCCGTCTGCAGCCCTTGTCCCCAGGCTCCTCGTCACTGAGGAGCATTAAGGCAGCAAGGATGGGGAGTTAGGGAATAGTGTGTTGTATTCTTCCTGAAAAGTAATGTCTCTAAGCCGTCGGACAGCCAGAAAGGCAAGGAAGCCCTGTGAGGAGAGAGAGGGGTGGGAGGAGGATCAGTGAGAAAGATCAGAACAGAGCATTTGAATGAAACTGAAAAACAAACACAAAGATCCAGGGAAGAGGATGCCTTCAAGCACACGCGGCTCATGTGTCCAGGAGGACCCTGCAAGTGCTGCAGACACCCCTCTCCAAAAGGGTCCTTGCACAAGGCTTGGTTCCCAACATGCCTTCTGCTGGAGCTTGAGGAATGCTGCTGCTTTCTTTGGCTCTCAAGGTGGGGGTCACACTGCTGTCCCTTGTCTCTACTGCCACCCACCTCGGTGCAGTGCCCAACTACTGCAGTCACAGGTGCAGACTGCATCCCTAGAGATGGGAGAGATGCGACTGCAGCCTCTTGTGGCCACTGAGGACATTTCATGTGAGCCCCCAGCCTGCAGCTCCCTTCTCTGCTTAGCCTCAGTGACCTACAAGTGCTGTTCAAAATCCTTTCATGGACAGGAAAATACAATGGAGCTGCTGCCCATGGGGACCTATGCTGGAGCAACTCCTGAAGGATGGGCCTCATACTACAGAGCCATGCTGGTGCAATGCTTGGAAAGCTGCAGCCTGTGGGAAGCCCACGTGGGGTCAGTCTGGAAAGGATGGTATTCCATGGGAAGGCCCATGTGGAGCATGGGCACGGAATGACCACGGAGATGACAGTGGTACAGACTGACCACAGCTCCCATTCCCACCCCTCTGTGCTGCTTGAAGAGAAGGAGGTAGGTGGGTTGGATGGGGAGGAAGGTATTTTTAGTTCACTTTTAGTTCTCACTGCTACAGTCTATTATTAGTAGACAACAAATGCTATTAATCTCCATATGCTGAGCCTGTTCTGCCCGTGACTGTAACTGGTGAGTGATCTCCTTGTCTTTATTTCAGCCAAGCAGCTTTTTCCAATGCATTTTCTTCCCCTGTTCTTTAGAGGAGGAGAAAGTGGTATAAAGGAGCCGTGCAGCCTGAAACCACCACACTAGGCTTCCCTCCTAACTGCCTCTGCTCCTCCATTTCCTTCCCCAAGGCCACGTCATTTCCAGAAGGAATCACTTATCTTGTCACCTCCCATTCCCCCCAATACAATTGCAGAAGAGCCTCAAACTGACATTGTGGTTGCTTTACTCACCCAGGTGAAAATGGAGAAGAATGAGAATGTGATGGCTGCTCGGGCTGCGTCTCCTCCCTCGTTCATTGGGTTGTCTTCTTCTTTTGAAGCTTGCCACTGGTTAGTCAGAAAGCAGAAGCCAACAAACCAGAGGAATGCCCAAAATGCTTCAGGGGACAGAGATCAAGAAGGTGCGTGTGAGCAGAACATAAACACATCACACTGATCTGCAAACTACAACCCCAAGCAACCCATTATCATGCTGCAAACTGGGCCATGTGTTGGTCATGAGGGCTTTCTAAGCCCAAATGAGCTTGCAGGTTCACTGAGGTATCATATCAAGCTGCGCTGGGTCCCTCTCCTTTTCTGCCCTGTTGGCTGCATGTGGGACTGCAAGGCTATACATGAACCAACTTGAAAGACAGAAGTCCTTGACAAATTCAGATGCTGTGCTCTTGCTCCACTTGTGGTTCCATCACACCACTGCAGATGTAGGGATCTAGGTAAATTGAGCTAACCTTCAGGGCTGGACAAGATCCTGCACAGCTATCAGGATGGGGAACGCCAGGGATCTGGCAGCAGCCCACCATCAGCAGCAAGACAGCAGGGAAGGGGCAGAGAAAGCCATTTGGGAAGCACACCTGAGACGCCGATATCTGAGAGCACTGCCTTCTTGCGGTCCTTGACGCTGCTGATCTGTGGGAAGTAGGCATCCAGAGCCAGGTAGAGAAGGCAGCTGAGGAAGGCGAGGACACCCACGGTAATGCCATAGTTGCAGGCGTTGCGGTTGCGGTTGAAAATGCAGTGCTCCTCTGATTCGTCCAGGCGGTTCACATACCCCTCATTGACAATGGAGCCAAACACCACGATGGAGAACACCTGGGGGACAGGCAGAGGGACATCAGCGCAGGTTGCTCTGGATGAGCTCCACGGAACTTGGGTGAGCCCCCATCCCGGGGCCTCTCCTCAACTGTGGCAGTTTAGCACGGGTGGTTTTATTTGATTTCAGAGGACTAGCTTAAAATAGGGCACATCTAGATGGAGTCTGTTCATCCATCTGATCCAAACCAACGTGAAGCAGCCTCAGCCTGGAGGAAGGGCGGCTTCCCGCAGACACGCAGCGAGGCGATGCACAGTGTAAATGCAGATACAGCTTGGGTGCGGGTGCCTGCGTGCAAGGGCTCCCAGCAGCAGAAATCCGCTTAGTCTGCACTTATTTTCCCACCCACTCCTTTCCCTTCTAGGAATTCCTTGTCTCACTACACATTTACACTCCAATTTTATCCATCTGGATACTGTGCTCCTTTCCTTCTTCGCCTTCCCACAGCCCCAGCTCTTCCTGCTGACCTATAGGTTCCTGCTCTCCCCATCTCCTTGTACATAAGCCCCCTCTCCCCATTGCCCTGCTTCAGCCCAGCCTGTGACACATTCTAACCTTCCTCACAGATTTTGCAGGAGCACCAGGAGTCTTCCCTACCCACCAACAACACTGCAGCAGCGCATTATGTTATATCAGGTAGAATTAAGGATGAGGCAGAGATGCCATAATCCACACCTGCCAGTTTAATCTTTGCTCATCGAATTAGCCTTTCCTCCTGCTGCGTGGCCAGCCATCTCACGCAGCAGGAGGAAGAAGGAAGGAAAAGAAAGGAAGGAAGAGAAAAGGAAGGAAGGAGAGAGATGAAGGCAGCATGCACAAGTTTCTCTTTGCAGGGTGTCTTGAGATCTTTAGGTCTCAAGACAACCCAAAAAGCAAAGAAGCAGCAGCTTGGTGAGTGCAGGGAAAATTAAGTGTTGATAAACACCAAGCCCATACACAGTCTCAGGCTGCCTAGAGAAGCTGTGAATATCCCATTTCTAGAAGTGCTCAAGCCCAGGGGGCTCTGGAAAGCCTGATCTTGTAGGGGGCAGACTTGCTCAGGGCAGGGAGTGGATTTAACTTTAAGGTCCCTTCCAACCCAAACAGTTCTATGACTCAGTGATTTCCCACCGGTGGGGTGGATGTCTCCGGCCCATAGCCCAGATCTCTGCTGTTTGGCCAGTGGCATCCCTGTACTCAGCACTGGTGAGGCTGCACCTCAAGTGCTGTGTTCAGTTTTGGGCCTCTCACTACCAGAAAGACATGGAGGCCCTAGAGTGTGTCCAGAGAAGGGCAGCAGAGCTGTGAGGGGTCTGGAACACGAGTGTGACAGGGAGCAGCTGAGGGAACTGGGGTTGTTCAGTCTGGAGGAAGCTCGAGACCTCATCACTCTCTACAGTGACCTGAAAGAGGCTGCAGTGAGGTGGGGTTGGCCTCTGCTCGCAGGGAACAGAAATAGAGCTAGAGGGAATGGCCTCAAATTGTGCCAGGGGAGGTTCAGGTTGGACATTTGGAGGGATTTCTTCTCCATAAGAGCAGTGCTGCAGTGGCACAGGCTGCCCAGGGAGGTGGTGCAGTCACCATCCCTGGAGGTGTTCCAGAGCCGTGTGGATGTGGCACTGATGGACGTGGTCAGTAGGCATGGTGGGGATGGGCTGGTGGTTGGACCGGGTGATCTTAGAGGCCTTTTCCAACCTCAATAATTCCATGATTCTATGATTCCAAGAACCAGAGGAACCCTATTCACTAGCCCTGACAGCTCTCAACTGGCCACAATGCAGCTGCCAAGCTTGAACATGTATCTACTGATTCCAGTGTTGGTTTTTTTTTACCCAAAGGCTCATCATTCAGTCCCATTTGGATTGCTGACCCTGGGTGTGTTTTTGACAGCAATATGACATAGATAGGGATCCTGCTCCTAACCATTGGGACCACGTGGTTTCTTTGAAAGAGATTTTTATGCTAGGAAATAAAATGACTGATTTGCCCTCCTCCTTCTTCTATTTGAAAATGAAAACTGTTCCTTTACTCAAATCGCCATGAAAAACAAAAGCCAGTAAAAATTATTTCTTCCTGAAGCAAAGTTTTGTCTTCAAAATTTTGGTCTGAATGGTTGAGAAAGGCAGCAAAATTGCTGACAATTGCACACATGGTCTTTCATTGGGAAACCTTGCACACCTTAACTGCCAGCAGGGCTGGCTGATCTGCCTGGCATCACTTGCAGTATTTGCTGTGTTCCTCTGACTTACAGCAGGGCCATCTCCTGGAGATGAGATCCAGGTGCTCCCAGGGCTCACATGACTATGGTAGGATTAGATGACCTTGGTGGTTTTTCCAGCCTTCATGATTTTTTATGATGCTATGACCAACTAAGGCATAAGCCTCCTGGTACTGGGGCTACAAAGTGTGTGCCTGGTTTTCTGCAGCACTAGGCAGAAAGCATACCTTCTCTTTGGAAGATGAGAACAAATTCCAAAGAGACACAGTCCGGTGTTCACTTTCAGTTTAAGGCTCAAAAATGGTGAAATGTCAATTGTCCGAGTCAGGCCAACCTTTGCAACAAGCTGCACTGAGTCTCTGCTTGTCCATTTTTGGTTGAGTGAACCTCTTACTCCCCAGAGACACTTCTGTTTACTCTGACTCTGCCTTGACACACATCTCTCCTCTCATCTTCGGGTTTGCTGCTGACCTGGGAGTGCTCTCCCTGAGCAAAAGCAGCAGAATTATTCTTTTTTGCACTTGCTCCTTCACAGCTGTCCATGTCAACACTTCCTGATGAATCAGCTGCATGCATGAGACTGAAGGGACTGGTTGGAAAAGACCTCTAAGATCACCTGGTCCAACTGCCAGCCCATCCCCACCATGCCCATGTCCTCAGTGCCACATCCACAGTTCTGGAACACCTCCAGGGACAGTGACTGTACCACCTCCCTGGGCAGCCTGTGCCACTGCAGCACCACTCCTTCTGAGAAGAAGCTTTTCCTAACATCCAACCTGAACCTCTGGCACAATTTGAGACCATTACCTTAAGGCCATTCCACAGATTGGGAAGAGAAGCTTGGCAGGATGTCTCCTTACCTTGGTGCCACTCCCCTGGGGACTGAATCCAGAAGTTTTACTGCACACTTAACCCCAGCTGTGTCTTTGGCACAGGTGGTGGGTGGAAGCTCACTGTCTTTGCAAGGCATTTCAGACCAATTAAATACTCAATATTTCCTAGGTTGCACAAGTTGTGCATGTGCCAAGATAATCCAGGCAGCAGGTGCAGTGTGAATGCCTGCCTGGATTATAAACAAAACACCACAAGCCTGCAAGAATAAAGCGTTTATGTTTCTGTCATCAGCACATCTGCATCACTTAAAAAGAAATGCCAGCCACCCTCCTTCCCCTGTGCACTGCCATTCCTCATTATCTGTTGGACTACAGCACCCTCATTTTCCACTGCAAGTGCCTGGTAGCATTCAGGGAAGCCCAGAGCCAGGCACCTTGTACAGCTGACACAGACAGAGGAACCAAAAAATGAACTGCATCCCACCATACAAAGCCTTGTTTAAATCCTGCCGGATCTGCTCTGGCTAGGCAGAACCTGCTGAGCATCATGTGAGGTCTGTGCAATGCGCCCATCCCCAGGCATCATGTGATGTGCCCCGGCACCCTGCGGGGATTTTCCGGCACCTCCTCCCAGGAATTTGCCACAGTTTCTTCCCCAAAAGACCTATGACAGCCTGAGCAGGGACAAGGCTATTGAGTTAGGGTGTCCTCCAGCCATGAGCCCTGCTGCTTCCTCCCCTGCTTTATTCCATTAGGGAGAGGAAACAGTTCAGTGACATAACATCACCCGTGGGACTTCAAATCCAATCCACCTCAGGCAGAACAAAGCGATGACCTCTCCCATGCTGATCTGGCAGCAACGAGCAAGAATAAATCTATTTAAAAACGCGAGGATGAGGAAGAGAGCAAACTGAGGAGATGATGGGGTTTTCATCTGCACTCATTCACCCGCAAACACAGCTTCTGGAAAGCATCAGAGAGCCCTGCACAGACGTGGATTATTATTATCATCCCCATCGTTAAATCTGCTTGTATTTAGCTCATTTTGAAGAAAAACACACGCGGCTTTGGGCGCATGTGGGAGCAGCAGCCTGAAAGCAGAAGGCCTCTGTTTAACTCCCAGCATTCTGGTAAGCCCTGATCCCAGAGCACTGCCCACCCCTGTGAATCCCCCCTGCTTTTCTCAGCTCCTGGAGGCAGTCCTGGCCAGCAGCCATGTGGCACCCGCCTCTCAGCTGAGCTGGAGCAGGTGATGCTGGGGGGAGCAGCTCCACATCCCTAATTCCTGCCCTGGGATCAGAGCAAGGCTTTCCCTGCCAGGCAGGTTTTGTTCACCATTAACCCTTCTGCTGACCACCATCACCTCTCCTCCAACATGCTGGGACCACATAGCACACTCTTCTCCATCAGGGTCTGGCCCTCAGGACCCTCTGGAAGGATTCACTTTTATTTCAGAGCAACCACAGCCATTTGCTTTGGCTCCAAGATCCTTCCTGGCAGTGTTGTGCTGGGAAAAGCACTACATGCCATACTCAGCCCCAAACTGGCTGCACACATCCACCACCCTTCTGCTGGCACAGCCTGGTGCCCTATTCCCAAAATCCTCATCTCACCATGAGTCCTACCAGCACACAGTGGCCATGGCAGCCAAAGCCATCCAAGGTGCACATAGTAAGGGCAGGAATAAGGTGGGGACTGCAGTTGGCCCCAGACTCATCTGCTCCAATGCTAGGACAGCGTTTCAGTTCACACTTTACTTATTTATGGAGTTGGTTCTATGTTCAAAGCCTGAGGGTTGCATCCTTCCATTGGTGTCGAGCTGCTCTGTTGGCCAGCTCTGAGCAAATCACAAGTGGAAAATTTTGCTTAGCAGGTACTATTTTGGACAAAGTCAGCCATAAGCAAAGAGGCAGTATGGGGAGTAATGCCTTAAAAAAGCCTCCAGAGCATCCAAGTAATCTGAGCTCGCTGGATAGGCTCTCCAGAATTGCTAGCCTTTGCCACAGCTTAGCATCCTCCTTTCCAAATATACCCCGTCCCTTCCTCCTCTGCCAGCCCATCTGCTCCTGACCCCATGGCCCTCCACTGCTGGCAAAAACCAGCACGGCCACCTGTTGGTACAACGCCCTACACTCATCCACACCTCGATGTCGCAACCAAGTTTGCTACAGGGCATGACCCAAGCACAAGGTCACTTCCTTGGGAAGCAACCATGGGATGTTCTGCTCCTTGTTAAAGCTCATCACATGAAAGTGGCTACATGGAGCCTCCAGCCTTGAGCATTTGAACTCCCTCCCACAGGGAGTGAGAAAGGCAAAACAACCATGAACTTGTATTTTTTGAGTGAAATTACACCAATTCATGGAAGGGCCCTGGAGGTGCTCAAGAACCATGTGACACTGGTTAGTGGGCAAGGTGAGGATGGGCTAATGTCTGGACTAAGTAATCTTAGAGGTTAGAAATAACCTTAATGATTCTATGATTCTATAACGGTTCTGGTGCTAGTCACAACCTGAGACAGGACTTCAACACCCATTAGAACCCTTCATGGTCTCAAGGCTCAAAGACAAATTCAGGACTAAATACATGGGAGGCAGCTTGAGGCTCCCTGGCCAGGAAAAGTAGGCGGAGGAATCCATGGCTGGGGAGAGAAAAGGCGGATGTGCCACTCAGGACCACCTTGCCAGGTCTTGGCTGACCCACAATGGATGTGACCTCCTCAGTATCGTGCAGGGCTGGTGAGCCCCATCCTGTCCTCTGCCAAGGTCAGAACAGCAGCCATAGGGGAACGTTATGGGGAGATGCTGGTCCCCAGAACGTTCTCCTTGCTGTGGGCTCAGGGAGCACAGAGATACTCTGGAGCAGAGCAGGTGCCTAATAAAAATACAGATAACCTGCTCTCTCTCTGTCTCACCTTTGGGAAGCCAGAACCCCGCAGTGCTGAAATGAAGTCATGAAGGAAAAAAAAAAAAAAAAGAAAGAAAGGCAGAGAGGGTGAGAGAGAGAGAGAAAGAGAGAGGAAATTCTGCCACTGAGATTAGAAGCGGGAGAGCCTTTGTAGGTCACACTCCGTCCATCATACTCGGGTAGGCAAAGGGATGGGGCTGCGCACCCCATCTCAGCCCCAAGCCTGATGTCAGTGAATCCAGACATACGGACAGATGGATAGACACCTGCATTAATGACATCCTCAGCCATCCCAGGGCTCTACAGCCACCCTCACGTCGCAGAACCCTGAGGGACAGACAGCAGCCCCATATCCAGCTTCAATTCCCCGTTCCCGCTTCGGTGCTTATTTCATTTTATTTCATTTATTTTGCCCCGTGGGTGCCAGCACGCTCGTGCCCTCTCTCCTCCTCCCTCCTCCGCTCCTGACCCAGACCTCAATCTCTCCCGCGCCGACTCCTGCCGCAGCTCGCTGCCTTAATCCCAATGACCTTCGTACGGAGACACGCGGGGCCGGCAGCCATAGGATGGGGGAACGCATTAGGAAGAGCAGCAGACTGAGAGGGGAAAGGAAGAGGAGGGAGCACAGACTCCCTCAAGCTCACCTCTGCCACTCTGTATACCCCAAGGCATCACCTCCAGCCTGCTGGTACCCCGCATCCCATAAACCCCTCAGCCAGGCGGAAGAACACATAGATCCCCCAAGCAGATGGAGATGGACGGAGAGCCCATCCCGGCTCACCCCATTGCTCCCCAGGGCTGCAGTAGAGCGCTCTCACCCCGCACAGCCCCATGTGTGGCCCTATGTCTCTGCACATCTGCGTACCTATGGCTGTGCATCTAGGGGGCTGTATGCATACGGATGGAGGTATATACGGAGATCAGCACACCTGGAGGCAGACGCGGGCATGCAGAGATATATGTCTATGGATGGAGACGGATCCCTATGGAGACGTGCGTGTGCGCGGATATGCCTCTCCAATACATGCGGAGAGCTATGCGTGCACGCACGGATGACAAGCAATACGTATTACAGCATATATAACATTCAAAGCAACACGATAATCTGTATTATATAACCGCACACACACACGCACATGCATGCGCGGGGGGAGCAGAGGGCCCCGCCGCTGCGCCCCGCACCCCCGCCCCGCTCCCCCCCGCTCCGTGCCGCGGCCTCACCCAGGAGAGCAGCCGCAGCAACGTGTGCGGCTGCCGGAGGAAGGCCTGCGGATCGAAGGCGCCGCCGGCTTTCCCCGCTCCGAAGGCGCCCCCGTCCATGGCGGGGCCCGCGGTGTGGTGCTGCGCGGGGGGCTCGGCGGGGCCGTGCTGTGCCGTGCCGAGCCGGGCAGCGCCGCGCCTGGCAGCACGGCGGCGGCGGAGGCGAGCCGCGCGCTCCCGCCGCGGGGCCGCGCCGCACGCGAGCGCGCACTCCCCCTCACCTCCCTCCTGTCTTGCGGCCGCGCGCGGAGCTCTGAAGCGGAGAGCTTACAGAGCAGATCCCACCTCGCCTCCCGCCGCTCCAGCCCGCGTGGGCCCGCGTTTCCCGCGGTGATGCGCTCTTAGGCAGTTAGCATTAGGGTTTGGGATGCTTTTGGGGGTGTCCCCAATCGTCAGCCACCTCTGAGGGGAGTGGGAAGAAGTTTAGGCTGTTGGGGGGCATCTGGGAGATGTCACAGCTGTCAGCGAGGTGCCTGCGCTCTCCTCTCCGTCGTAGAGAATCATAGGATGGTTTGAGATAGAAGGGACCCTTAAAAGCCATCTGCTCCCACTCCCCTGCAATGAACAGGACACCCACAGCTCGATCAGGGTGCTCAGAGACCCTCGAGCCTGACCTTGAAATTCTCTATGGATGGGACATCTGCACCTCTCTGGGCAACCTGTGCCAGTGCCTCACCATCCTTAACATAAACACCTTTTTCCTTTTATCCAATCTAAATCTCTGCTCTTTTAATTCGAAACCATTTCCCCTTGTCCCGTCCCAACAGACCCTGCTACAGATTCTGTTCCCCTCTTAGAGCCCCCCCCCAGATACTGAAGCATCCCTACAAAATGGTGGCAGGTATGGGGTGGCCCTTCATTGTGTGAAGACACTCTGCACCACATCTCCACTGGGCCAACCACACCTCCAGCTCTTCTGAGAAACTGAGCTCAAAGGCTGATGAAGCAGCATGACAGGTCGGACCGCTTCTGGGCCTGTCACCTCCGGGTCATGCCTGAACACAACCAGTTCCATGGGGAACGTGCTCAGCTTGCTCCAAGCACGGGCTTGTGTTTTTGGCAGAACCTATGAGCCAGCCCTGCAATGTGACCCAGCTGTGCTTTGTCTTTAGCTCTCAGAGCAGGATCTGGCTCTATAGGTCGGTGTTTGCTTCAACTCTTTAATGTTTGCAGTAACTCGGTATAACCATAATGTGCAGCCCTTCTGCTGCCATCCCAGCAGTGGGAATACAGGTGGCTTTGGCAAGAGGTGTGTGCAGGGAGGAAGTGGCTGGCCCAGGGGACACCACCAGCCTACAGGATGCTGCCCCAGTGATCTCCCTGCAGAACACTCCTCATGTCTCAGCCACCCAGCCCCAGAATTACAAGCTTTGGGACCTCGATCAAGCTGTTTTTGTCACCTGCCCTGGAGCTCCCTACTCCCTTTGCTTTCCATCCACAGGGTAGGTGTCTTGTGTCTCAACCACGTAAAAAACATGACAGCCACACGCTGACCATTGTTATTGCAAGCGGTGACTGGTTCCTTGTGCTTTTACTGTCCAGGTAGCACTTGGGATTAAAGATGACAAGCCTACAACCCCACACCAAGGATCAGAGCCACTTCAGGTCATATTTCAGCCAGAGTCATGTGTCAAATCAGTTATCCTGCAATGGCACTCACACCGTTTCAGGTCTAGGGAAGTCTGAGTTTCAGCAGCCTGGTCCTATCCGATTTCCTGGTGCCCACAGAGGGAAAGTGAATAATTTAGCTTCCATCCTCCATCTCCCTTCCTGTTCAGGTTTCATCTGTGTTTCACTCCTGTGCTGATGTTTCTGTGGAACAGCAGAGCCAGCATCAGCAGTACACGGAGCAAGAGAAATAATGTGTGTACAGTATGAATGATAAGATCTCCAGACAGGTCCCACAGTAAGCCTTATTTTTAGTTCCCCTTCTGAGGCATAACTTTAGCACTTACGTTGTTGATATTGTCTATTACTAATTCAGCAGTAGCACAGAGAGGCCCTAATTGAATTTGGAGCTGTGTTGTACCATGCGCCATGGAAATACACAGTGGGACACAGTTCCTGGAGAACACACTATCTGCTTGAGAATGTATCCCTGCGAGAAGGAATTTATTTGATCTCCCTTGGTGTTTTAAGATATGCAAATAAGCAAAACGGCTGCCAATGTTAGCAGGAAAACCTATTTTATCTTATGAATTTTTAAATATCGTGTTTCCATTTCTTTGTTGTTCCTCTGTTTCTTCACATTGCCTAACATCTTTTTTTTTTTAAAGTGTGATGAAGATTTGTCAAGCACTGTTTGAGTTACAGATCATTAGGAGATTCATTCAAGAAGTTGCACAAGGTGTTTTACTATATACTTCTCTTTTTTTTTTTAATGAAAATATAACATTGTCTGTATGTGTATACACACGTTTTCAATAAATTCAGCAAGGTATTTAATTTTTTTTTTTTTCATGGTTCTGTTACAGAAGCTTCATTCCAGGAAAGACTTATTTGCTTCAACGCTTTTACCTAAGGCACTCTTCATTGGCTGCCCTGTATATTCAGTGCTGTGGAAGAAAACCAAACACATCCAAAACTAATTCATAAAATTCAGCTAATTCATATTTCCAAGCTGGCTCAGCAAACTTTGTTATGCTGTGACAACCGTGGGTAGCTTTGCATAAAGCTTCCAGCAGCTCAGCCCGCCTCTGCCTTGGGCTTTCCGTTCTCATGGATGCTGGTGGGCAAGTTACAAACCAATGCTAGCAAAGCTCCTGCTGCTCCCTGCCTCATATTCTCCCGCATTTCATAAAATCATTGAGAGTGGAAAAGACCTCTAAGATCACCTGGCCCACCCCCCATGACGTCCTCTGACCACGTCCCTCGGTGCCACATCCACACGGCTCTGGAACACCTCCAGGGATGGTGACTGCACCACCTCCCTGAGCAGCCTGTGCCACTGCAGCTCCACTCTTTCAGAGAAGAAATCTTTCCTAATATCCAATATGAGCCTCTCCTGGTGCAACTTGCAGCTCCACAGGCTGAAAAGCTCCCAACAGTCTGGCTGCTTCCTGCTCCTGATACCACCCAACATGCAAGCAAAGGAGCAGTAGGCCGTGCCAGTGCCATTCTTTTTCCAGGACACTGCTATGGGAGAGGTGAGTTGTGCATTCATGGTGGGGTCACCGTCCCTGGAGGTGTTCCAGAGCTGTGTGAATGTGGCACTGAGGACATGGTCAGTGGGCATGGTGAGGATGGGCTGGCGGTTGGACCAGGTGATCTTAAAGGTGTTTTCCAACCTCCATGATTCTGTGGATGCATATGAAGGCCACATCTGCATGTGAGAGGCTGCTACGCTTCTGTTAGGAAAATTTCTGCTGCAATCAGCTTGCTCAATCATCTTCATCAAAAAAGAGACAGAATAGAGTCTTCAGCTCTCTTCATTTGAATAACGAGAACCCATAGGGAGCATCCACTCTGTGGAAGTTTTTTTAACCAGATCCTTGTGACTGAAATTCTTCTTCTCAGCTTTTTCTTTAATTTGCTTTGCAGGGACCTCCTGTCCTTCCTTTTTTCTTCCCAAATTTTATTTGGGAGAATATTCCCAATATTTATTTGGCAAGGACACCTTCTCCTTGTTTTTCCTTCACCCTGCCAAGCCTTACTGCCGCCTGGAAAAAGCAGGTCGACGTGGAAAGAGGGACGCAGACATAGATGCGTAGCAGCAGCGGGTGAAGAAGACGAGGTGAGCACTTAAGAAATGTCAATGCTTTCTCCGGGACAAGATGGCGCTCGCTATCCCAGTGCGAGCCTGCTGCGCCTTCGCCACCATTCTGACCCCACTCCCCTCCCGTAGCTCTGCGCTCCCCCTTGCTCTCGCGAGATCTTGCTCGCGGCGTGCTGCGTCACCTGGGGCGGGGCGGTTATAAATACAGCCTGCGCGCAGTTCCTCGCTCCTTCCGGCCCGGCGCGGGGACAAAATGGTGGGTGAGCGTCGTGGCGGTGGCTGGGCCCGGCCTTGCAATCCCTCTGGTATCGCTGCCATCCCTGCCCCAGTGGCTGCCAGGCCCTCATCCAGCTGCCCCACCGCCCCTGCGGGAGGTGGTGCGGAACTTATTTTGGGGCTCTGTCACCGTGGGTGGGCGAGGCCTTAGCGTGGGATCGCGGGCGGGCCTGGTGCCCGCGAGTGTGGGATTTCTGTCGAGGTGGTAGAGCAGCTGCGAGCTCGTGGTCACTGGTGAGGTTTGCGTGCCTCTTTCAGAAGGGGCTGGGGTGTTTTTCTGAGGAACTGCTGGCAGTATGGGCTGCTTGCCCTCATAGCCAGGCCACGGTGTGCTCCAAGGTCAGGAGTGCCGATATCAGTGCTTAGAGTTGAGCTTTGTCCCTCTGGCTGTGGAGAGGAGCCGAGTGCCCGCATAACTGCATAACGATCCCTCTTTCTGCTGTGGGATCCAATTGCATGGTGAGGAGTGTCGCTCCCATGCAGTGGTATTGTGCTGGCAGGCTTTAGTCTTACTGAAGAGTCAGAACTACATTCTGGGCCTTGCCACGAGGTTCCCGATCCCAGCAGAAAGCCCTTTTGGAGACTGATATGCCTTTTAATGCAACTTTTGTGCTGGTGCATTTTTTAAAGCCTTTTCATTATTACTGTTTGCATATTGGATATTCGTGAATCTCTGAAGTAAGCATAATATATTTATTTTCTCTTTTTAGTCTCACCGCAAATTCTCAGCTCCCAGGCATGGGTCCCTGGGCTTCCTGCCCCGTAAGCGCAGCAGCAGGCACAGGGGCAAGGTGAAGAGCTTTCCCAAAGATGATCCCAGCAAGCCTGTCCATCTCACTGCCTTTTTGGGGTACAAAGCTGGGATGACTCACATTGTCCGTGAAGTCGACAGACCTGGGTCCAGTACGTATGACTCTTCCCTTATGAATGGCAAAAGATAACCTACTTCTCATAGGTAGCTGTGAATCTTAATCCTGCCTTAGCTTTGCACCTTGTTCAGTAGGTGATTCTGCTGAGTGGGGTGAGGTATAAAGAAAGCATCCCAAACCATTCCTACTTCATCATGAATGATATCTAGCAGCAAGATCTGGCACTAGTTGTCTTGTTAGTGGTCCTCTTTCTGACATGCATGACAACTTGCACAGGAGCCTCATGTTTTAGTTCAGCTGTACTCTAATGTGCTATTTGAGGATTTTTCTTGATGGACAGGTCTAATTAAATCACCTGCATCATACCTTTGTGAAAGGAATTTGTCTCCTTTAAGCTTGAAACTGAGAGTGAGAAAGAGCAGCTGCTGCTGGTGTTAACCCATATTTCTGTCTCACTGCAGAGGTGAACAAGAAGGAGGTGGTTGAGGCAGTCACTATAGTAGAGACTCCTCCCATGGTCATTGTGGGCATTGTGGGCTATGTGCAGACTCCTCGTGGTCTCCGCAGCTTCAAGACCATCTTTGCTGAGCACATCAGCGATGAGTGTAAGCGTCGCTTTTACAAGAACTGGTAAGAGAGCAGGACTTTCACTTGTTGACCTATTTTTTTCTAGGTTGCAAATTACTGCAGTGTAGCTTCTTGATTCAGCTTTTCCAATGGTGGCATTTGGCCTTAGTGTGAGCCAGTGTAATAACATGGCGTGCCAGAGCGGGGTTTCTGGGAAGGTGACAGCATAGCATTAGTGCTATTTGTGACACGGGGTGACAGTCCTAGTTTTGGCCTGAGCTCTCCTTAATAGGCTACATGTGATGATACTTCGACGGGCGGACATAAGGAAATCGCCTTTGGCGTTTGTTGTTGAATGTCGAGTCCTGACTGTAGCCCTGTTTTCTCAGGAAAGGGGAGGATGAATGTTACTTTTGATTACTGTTCCGGGCACTGTTGCTGTGATTTCAAGTATGCACAATTTGCCTGAGAGTGGCTCCAGCGTGTCTAGAGCTCACAGCTTGTTTATGAACTTTGCAGGCAGGGAAAATGTCAGAGTAGTGCACAGATTGTTTCACGGGTATTACAGTGATGACCTTATTGTCAGCCATGGCTCAGGCTTACGGGGGGAAACTGCGGTGTTGTGTAGCAGATAGCAGTCATCTGACACAATTGCTTTAAAGATCTGTTTTTCTGTTATTGTTCGACATTTCTCTACAGTCTTTTGTCTTCTGTACTGTGAATATTAATGTGCTTTGGGATTCATGGCAGCTCCGCTCAGCTTTGGCAATCTTGCCTTTGTCTGATGAGCTCCAGGCTCCGCTTGCCAGTGGAAAAGACTGCTTAGAAGCTGGCAATGAGCTACAACTGGCTAAGGTGGCAGCTCCTTCCGCTCGTCCCCTTTCCCTGCGGGATCGATGAAGGGCTTAGCCAAACCTTGTCTCTGCTCTGCTCCTGAAGGCACAAATCCAAGAAGAAGGCCTTCACCAAGTACTGCAAGAAATGGCAAGATGACGAGGGCAAAAAGCAGTTGGAGAAGGATTTCAATAGCATGAAGAAATACTGCCAGGTTATTAGAGTCATGGCTCACACTCAGGTAAGTTTCCAGAGTTCAGGTACACAGTAGGAACAACTGAGATGGCAAGAATAAAGCCTGCTCAGTCTCAGCAGTGAGATTTCTACCCACCCCACAGTGTAATGATAACTGTTAAGCATTGAATCCCAATGGTCTTCATTCTGTATTAAGTGTACACTCACAGTGTGCATGAGTAGCCTTGAGGGGAACCACAGACAGTCTTCTACAGCTGTGCTCAAAAGAGGCTGAACCATAATGGGCACTGCTTGGTCTCGGTCAATGTTGATGCCTGGCTCTCAATTCAGCAACAGATGGAAATAGACCAGATACTTAACTTTGTGCGGTTGTGCAGTTTGAAGCTGTTCTTGCAGGGGCTGGAGTTACTCAGGCTTTCAGTGGCTTCTGTGGGGAGCCAGTGGAGGAGGTGTTTTGAATGATGCTGGTGTCTGTCTGGCTGTTGAGTGTTGTGTCAGGCTTTCTTGAGGTGTAATTAAATCTATGAGTTAGCTATAAGCACAGTAAGATGTCTAATTACAACTTTGCTGATTTTAATAATCTAGTTTCCAATATTAGACACCAAAGACAGCATTGAAGCTGCTGTTAGTACTCCTAGCAATCCCTCTGTTCTAAATATGGACTATAAGTGTGGCTGCTGTTCAGTTACAAAAAAAAAAGATCAGGCCAGACTGGACTGGTACTGGAATAGTTGATACAAGATCAATCTGGAAGAACAGAAATTGTCATCCTTTGTTTTCCAGATGCGTCTGCTTCCCCTGAGACAGAAGAAGTCTCACCTGATGGAGATCCAGGTGAATGGTGGCACTGTTGCTGAGAAAGTGGATTGGGCTCGGGAGAAACTGGAACAGCAGGTCCCTGTGTCAAGTGTCTTTGGCCAGGATGAGATGATAGATGTCATTGGAGTCACCAAGGGCAAGGGGTATAAAGGTAATTACATGGAAGCTCTGTGGAGTCAGGGCGCGCGTTTTAATAAAATCCTGGCCTTTCGTTCTCACAGCTGAGTGGGCCAAGAGCTGAGCAGGTATTGCTGTCACAGTTCGGTGATGAAACCATGGAATAAGCGCTGGGCACAGCGCCTGACATCCGTGAGGAGTCATTCCATGCTGCCTTCCTTCTGAGAACGCTTCCTAGGGACAGCCAGGGAGGGGACACGCACAACTTTAGGACAGTGTGCTTCAAGAAGAGCAATTCCTGGAGTGCTGTGTCTAGGCTTCCCTTTTGTTGCTCAGGGACAGTGCTCAAAAGGTCTTCTGAGCTCGGTTTGAAAACTGAAGTCGTCACAGCTTGACAAGAAACATAAACACTGCTTGGGTTTCTTGTTCCAGGTGTTACCAGCCGTTGGCACACCAAGAAGCTGCCTCGCAAGACTCACAGGGGACTGCGCAAGGTGGCCTGTATTGGTGCGTGGCATCCTGCTCGTGTGGCTTTCTCTGTGGCCCGTGCTGGTCAGAAAGGCTATCACCATCGGACCGAAATCAACAAGAAAATCTACAAGATTGGCCAGGGTTACCAAATCAAGGATGGAAAGCTGATCAAAAACAATGCGTCGACTGATTATGACTTGTCTGACAAGAGCATTAACCCTCTGGTGAGTTGTAACAGCTGTGTGGAAAGAGTTGCTGTCTTCTGAGGCAATTGGGTGTGGTACAAGATGTGAAATGATTGAATGAAGAGCACTTGAGGAAAAAACTCAGCTGCTGTGGGTGGTGGTGCTGCTGAGTCATTCTCAGTATTGACTTGCATAACTTTTGCTTACTGCA